TCATATTACAAAATTGAAGAGTATGTTTTAGATAAAGAAGATGGAAAGACAACAAGAGTCTAGATTCCACACAATTATGATTCATAGCATTTAAGTTTATTAGAAAAGAGCAATCCCTTGAGTTTCTTGCTCGTTCTTCTCAGCGAGGTCAGCGTAGTGAACGAGCAGTAACTTAAAAAAATTACGTTTTGAACTGTAAAACTTTTACACACACATTTTATCCTAAGACACACAGAGTTGTCAAGACACACGTGCCTGTAGTTTCGCCAGCACCTTTACCACCTTCACCACCGAAACCATAATGACGTTAGTGCTTGAAGGCAGAAATAGGTATCAGTAATTATGATTTTTGATAGTAATTAAAGAAAACACTTTTTTTTGTAAAGTGATTATCAAATGCGACTTACTTATTGCACAAATCCAATCCAGGATGGCCAAGCTGCTTACTCCTTCCAGTCCTTCTTAATGTCGAAGCACCATTCCCACTGCAGGTGGACGTTCTTGTCGTCGTCAGTGAAGAGGCTGTTCACGGAGTAGGATCCTCGGGCCATCATGCCGGAGGGAGCGTCTTCAGGTGGTGTAGTGTAGGACTGGATCTCGGTTTTCGGGGGGTAGGAGCCTACCATGTGGGTCATTTTGTCCACTGTAGAGAAAAGGTAACAACCATTAGGAGTCTGCGCGAGTGGCTGGCGATGGCTTTATTTAAGAATTTACTTTTTTACAAATAAATTAAAGCCATCTGAAAAATTTATATCGTATACTGTAGGTATGTGTGCTATTTAGTTCAGATGATATTAAAAAAATCATTGGTATATGTAACGTATCTATTGAATACAGCGGTTTTCTCATCAAATTGAGGATGTCACATAACACATTTCTGAGAGAAAGCCATTGTCATATTATATAATACTTTACCCTTATTATTATAAATTTATTTAAAAGTAAGCTACTGACATGGTAAGCTAATGTCATGGCTGAGAGATAAAAATTGCACTTCTGTATGACATGACAATAGCTTACAACAGCTAGTAACATGTGTAATTAATAACTCTAGTTACATTACTAGAATTAGTTTCAGGTTTATAAAATTTGTAAAAATAGAAAGACATTTGTAATGTAATAAAATTTGCATGTCAGTTTTGGTAAAATACGAAAACTGTTACAATATTGGTATATTTACCACCTTACTATACCACCTTTTGTAAAACATATTTTATGCAATCAATCAATTAATCAATCAGTCGTCGTCGGCATGCGTACGGACGCGATCGAAAATACGCAGGAAGGCGATTCGTTGCCGATCTGTAGCGATCCACGTACGAACATTGGCATATAAATTACTACTGATATTATATTGAAGAGTTTGAACTTTCTGTAATTATTGCTATTATTTTATGTATATTATTTATTGCACCAAACAAATGCAACAGAAATATTAGATTAACAGAAAGTGAGCAAAGGTGGACTTATCTCTTAAAGAGATCTCTTTTAATTGACTATGTATTTAAACAAAATTAGAACTTTAACTGTTTTGTGCATGTCTACTGACATTGTTTGTAATCTAATCAATTAATTCAATTTCAATCACTATAAGTATAATTTTGCATGGCAGATGTGGTAAAATATGAGCTCTATTTCTCTACTGTGTTCCATCTCTTGTTCACCATATTTTAAGCACATAAATTTTCATTTAATTTCATGTTATATTCTATAAAGTTATCTCTGCCTTTGGGTTCACTGTTACTCGTTACTACGCATTTGAACTATTATTATATCAAAAACAAGTTTATCTGATTCAATTATGTTAAAGTTTTAGAGCCCTTTCTACTAAACACCTACGATATTATATTGTAGAACCCGAAACATTTTTCTCAAAAAAAAAATTAGCTAATTCAAAAAAGAAATTTTTGGGACAACTGACAATATAGATTAAAGAAAAAAAATATGTACACTCAAAAAAAGCATATCAAGTTTGATAATTTAGGCCATTCGTATAGGGTTGACTTTAAAATCTTAAGTTAAATCATTGACTTACAAATAAATGGACGACGGGTCTAATACAAAAACCACGAAAAAAATGTCCCAAGTCAACCTATTCGAAATTTAAATTGTAATGTCATCGCAGTATCGCGCTGTCAGTAGAACAAATGAAGACTAAAGCGGAGTGTCGCGCTCTGTATACGATTTTAGCGCCTTACAAGTGCGGACACTTTTTAGCGCGGACCCGACGTCCATATAATTGTAAGTCAATGAGTTAAATACATAATACGAGTATATAAAGACGGTATATTAGTTTCACTGCGCACATAATTTTGAATTTATTTTGTCAGCTTCTCAAGGTACGATATCATAACGTTTTTACAAATAGCAATGATTTCGCACTTATAAGTAATTCAAAACGCTGAAACGTAAAAAAGTGGGTTACGATCTTTTGACTCACCCTCATGCGTAAATATCCGATCATTCCAATATAGAACGCTACTGCGCAAGCTTACTCGAATATTAAACTTTACATTCAAACATTTAAGGTAAACTTTCAAATATGCATGCAGGTACAATGTTTTCATGAAAAACATCCGCTAATTCAAATATAGAATGCCACTGTACTGCCAACAGAATATGAACGTTACATTGAAGCAACTAAGGTAAACTTTTAATTCGGAGGCCGTATGTTAAACCATTAGGCTACCACGGTTGCTGTACTGTAATTTGCTACACTACATGCAATGCAACTTTTCCCATACATTTTAACGCGCACACAATGCCGTGTTTACGATAAGAACAGTAAGTCTATATGTATTTGTAGCGGAAATCGAGGGACGGCTATGAGAGAGTGGAAATGACTCTCGCGCCGGGTTGTTCTTGGCGCAAAGATTGTCCATTGCCACACAGCGAGGAAATGCGGCAAGCGTGATGGGCACCTTTGCGCCGGGATCAGTCAGGGGCGGGCTTTTAGGCGAGTGTGAGCATTGACCAATGTAATTTGTAATTTCTTGATTTATTTAAATTATTTGTTATTCATTTTTCAAATATATTTACTGTTTATATTGTAAGTACGGCATCACACGACGCGGTCTCTACGCGCATCCGCAGCGCGCGTTTTGTGATCCGTCGATTGTCGGCTTTAGAACCGTCCATAGATCGATATCTCCAATGAACACTACGTCAACTTCATTTTTTGGTCATCTTTGTAAACAGCCATATTTATTTACTAATAGAAAATAAATATGGCTGTTTACAAAAATGGATAGCAATCCCCGAATTTTGTAAAAAAAATAACGAACAAAATCCAAAATTCGAAAAGAAAAACATAAAAATTCGAATTTTTGTGGAAAAAATAAAGAAACAAAATAATAATGTTCATTGGAGGTATCGAGATGTTCGCATTGCATTATATGTTGCGTTGCAAAAAATCTGTACCGAGCTTTTGGAGTTATCGGAATAATTAAGAATAACAAATAAGGACCGTTTATAAAAATAATTAAAAAATAAAAATGACATATTATGCATATGACTAATAGATAACCATTGCTCTTGTGTATAGCATGAAAATCCAATTAGCGTTTCATACGTACCGGGCACTGGCAGGTTGCATGGAAATGTAGATTTGTGTTATAAATGTTGTTCATAGATAATAATAGACTTATTTATAAGGTTTCCATTGGTTAAAACACTATGATGTTGCCGGTCTGCTGTACCTTATTTATGAGTAGCAAGAAAAAGAAAATACTTTCTAGAGACGGCGGACTAAAGCACATATGTCAAAAACCAATATCATTCATTTAAATTAATATATCTACCGATTAAACGTCGCCTACTTCTCAAACTCATATCTTAAAGCACAAAATTACTGAAATGCAAAAAATGTATTGTATATACAAATTTTGCAGGCTCATTTCTGATGTATCCAAATTAACAACCTTGATCATCATCATGTAGTGCCTCTCCACTACTGGAGGCCAGCCGTCAGCTTGGAGAATTCTTCCGTCCTGAGCCAAGCGAAACAAATGTTCAACGCTGGCAATATTCGTCCCCTTGATAATAAATAGAAAGTTTTGCCATCTCCTGAAAAATCTCTCTTTTAATGATACGAGTCTGAGAAAGTAAGACATTGATAAGTCAAATTTATTCGTTACTTCATTAGTGGCATCGTTATCAAAATTATAATTCGCTTGACATCTTCCAACATTATACACAACACAAAAAAAATTAATTATATATTAAAAATGAAGCACTTCTTTGACTTACGTGCTTTAGTTCGCCAACCCAAATAAATCTAGGTATTTATATGTGAAAGCACAGGTTGTATAGAAGTTAACATGTAAGAAAATATATGTATAGTTTCACTGTGTCAAAAAATTAGGCATACAAAGATCTTAAACGTGTATTATAATATTTAAAGTAAAACTAGGTGTAACGATGTGTTTTTAATAATATCATATGGGCGTGTGTTTTAATAAATCAATCATTAATTTAAACGCGGTGATAGTTATTTTGGTCAATTTAATTGTAAAATGTAAGTAAATGTCAAAATAATAAAGAGTCTGTGTTCAAGACTAACGCAAGTGGAAGGTGTAATAATGGTATGTTATTAAATACTACTTGGTGAATGTTTCGACGTTTAGTCATAATATGGATTTGTTTGATGTTAGTAGAATGACGACACAATTTTATAGATTGCACGTGAGAGGACACGTGGGGAAAAGTCCAGGTGGGGAAAAGTCCAGGTGGCAAAAAGTTCAGGTTCAGTTTCAACCAAATCGAAAATACCCTTAAAAATACCAGGTAAAAAGTACCTAGAATAGGCGGGTGTGTATGACGAAACTAATGGAAGTGGACGAAGCGAAAGAAGTATGTAAAGAGTTGTAGCTGGTGAATGTCTATAGTATGGTAGTTGATGATTTTTTCGACCATACCATCGGCAGATGCTGATTTTTAACATTAAAAAATCGTAAAAATGTACAGAGCTTAATTGAAAATAATTTTTGTTTTTTTTTTTAATGATTTTTGTGACATTTATTAACAAAAAATCAACCTACATGAAATCAATCAATTTGCCTATTAATTATACAGGAATTCCATGATCCATGAATGGAATACCAAAGGCAACTGTTTTGGCTTTCAGTCTGTTACTGGATAGATATTAAATTATTCCCGCGTGTCGTAGTATTTGGCGTTCAATACGAGGAAAAAGGAACCTAAGCACGCGCTCAGAGAGGTGAAAATGACATTGCCCGCTGTGTGTAGTCGTGCGAAGCCGAATGCTCATAAGTGAAAGATTTGTATGAGAGCTTGCGCCGACGTCGGCGCACTCAACGGTAGGCACTTATCATATAACCTTGCGCAAGTGACGGAGCCCTGATAATGCCAAGATGCAAACATTCGCAATAAGTAGCATCGATCAATGTGACTGGAAGTTGATGCGGACATTTTAATTTATGCGGATGGATAATATAATTTATGCGGATGTTGTTATAACCCTGGGTCCCAATTCTGCTAATTGTCTTGAAACCACTGTTTCTTGTAATTCAATTGAGAGTTCACTGAGGTTATATTGCAATTCTGATAATATTTGTTATTCCGCTAAAATGTAGTTGCAATAATGATAATATTTGTTATTCCGCTAAAATCTAGTTGCAATTATAATAATATTTGTTATTCCGCTAAAACCTAGTTGCAATAATGATATTATTTGTTATTCCGCTAAAATCAAGTTGCAATGACAGCTGAGTCTCAATAGAGTGTCAATGGAATGGCCGTGGTGGGTTCATTCGTTCACTGAAGATCAATATTGCCTTACTAGAACTACCATTGAAATATGCATATCGTCGTGGTATCCCCGACTATCGTGCAAATCCGCGTATGTAGTGTTGGTAAAAGCGCGTATCTGCACCAAACCAAATTTCACAGGGGAGGAATTTAACTAATTTGTATTAAAATTTTTATTGAATTTATATTTAATTAATTTTTATGTGAAATTACTCCACTAGCTTGTTATAATATTAATACAAAAATCGCAGCAAATAAAAATTAGCAGACTTGGGACCGTGATCTATAGTTTCTGCCTATGTATCCGTATGCCGTGGCCAAGTTATGTAAGTAAGTTCTGTATTTTACCTGGTACTCCGAGCCTGTAGGTCTTCTGAACGTACTTGAGTCCATGGACGATCTCGCGCTGCACGTAGAAGTCAATCCTTATTCTATACTGCACCCCTTCCTTTATGGTGAATACCTGCAAATGGATATAACGAAGTTGTAGAACGATATGAATTTTTCAATATTTAATTATTAATTTTGTAATGGAGTCCTTCATCCTTTTTTATTCCAAAATCTCCAAGAGGCTGATCTTGATTAAATCCTAGGGGGATTTTCGTACTAAAAATTACAATATTCACGTCAATGGGGGATATACCTGCAAATACAATATCAAAACATTGTTGATTGCATGACCGAACTCGCTGGCCCAACGGTTTTGGGCGCTGTGCGAGAAGATTCCGGGTTTGATTCCCGTTAAACTAGTGGGGGGGAATTCGGTTGCTCTGGTACCCTTAACCAGGTAGCTGGTGTAGTTGTCTGTCTACATAGGACACTTTGCGATTTTCAATGCAGTTGGAATGCTGTTCGTGCAGTTAAGTAATAAATAGACGTTTCCCATGTAAAGTATAATAAATGTATTATTAATTAGTATTACAAGGAAGTACAAAGTTAAAGTCGAAATACTTCTTCACAAGCGTTTTAAAACCAAGACGGCTCTACTTCGTTTTAAAGCTAATAAAACTAATTTCATGTATAAAAGCTTTTTTTTTTAGAGAGCGCCGAAAATTCACAACAATATACCTAATACCTAATAAACCTAAACCAGGGTTGTTGCTGATGCAGGTTTTCACACATCAGCGGATGCCGATTTTACGTATTTGAAAAAAAAAAACGTGAAAAATGTACATCATTACTGAATCTATCTACATGAAAAAGTTGTCTATTTTCTTTGACATTTTAATAAAATATTATATCAATGATTTGTGAAATAAAACCAACAGCAGAGATGCTTTTACGGCTTACAGTCGTTTTCTGGAAGGTTTGTAAATTATTCCAGCAAGCCTTTTAGGACATATCACAACTCAAACATCCGCAACGAATATCAGCATCGATATATGGGGATCCTGATGCGGATATTTTAATTTATACAGATTATCCGCTGATGCTGATATTCGCAACAACCCTGCTACACACCCACAGAAATGTAAATGTAATACAGATTTTAAAGTACTACAGTTCTTGAAAAAAAAAAGAATATTTTTAAACTGAATAAAGGAATCATTTGCAGGCAACAAAAAACGGAATTTTGAATTATATATAGATACCACGAGCATCATCGAAATAAAGATAAACAGATGTTCTAAATAAAGCTTACAACAGATGGTGCGATGAGCATATCGATTAGAATACGTTGAATGGCTTTTGTTTGCAATTGAATTTACAGCTACGTGTGAATGATTTGTTGATATTATTATCTCAAAAGTTCCATGTAATATATTGAATGGCAACTTGTTTCGTATATAAATGATCAGTGATCGAAATAAGAAAAATATATTTATACACGAAGTCCTTTGAATATCACAATGTTTTACTATCATGATATTCAATTCTTTTTTGTGAAATTAATCCTCTAGTTTGGTAAAATTATTAATACCAAGACCGAACACTATTTCCATCGGGCGGGATTCGAACCAGCATACCAGGCCGAAAGTATGTTTAACTAAACTTCTAAGATAATGCACATAGAGTGAATAATACCTACCTCTGAAGTTCCGGTATTCCGGTAGTAATTAGGAATTAATCTACTAAAGTAGTGTGTGTGTAGTGTTGCGTTTTGTTTTTAATTATTTCGAGGATTTCAAATAGTATAATACATTCCTATGAATTTCCGGTACTATTGCATTATAATTTATTCTGTACATTATAATATATATGTTAACTAGGGATTACTTTACGACGGTACTTTAGAAGAAAAGTTTAGTAATTGGTGCTAATTGTATTTTGTTCTGATTTTTTAAAATTTTGGTGATTTCAGAGGGAGGTATTATACACTCTACGTATCGATGTATAAGGGCCAAAGCGCAAAATCACAATTTTACAGGAGAGCCTTCCAAACTATCAATCTGGTGTATTTTCAAGAATTCCTTGTATTTCGAGGTTTCCTTGAATATGTTTGATTTTGTTCTAACGCTACTTTATAGATTATAATGAAATGAAGCATTTCCCACAAAAAAAGTGAAAATGATCAAATGGTTAGTTTGGCTCTTATACTTAGGACACATCGATATACTCCATTTCGATCTGGATAATGGTAGCAGTTCAATAGGAAAGTACTTCCAAGACTTTAATGGAAGGACGCTAGGCCCGTAACAACTCTTATCACTCAACAACACTCAACGTGTTGCACAGTCAACTACCTAGCTGTAGCTAGCTGGCTATACATGAGTGGTCAGGGAATGCTGTACTATCACTAACAACCCTAGTTGCCTACCTAACAGCCTAGCCCTAACCATACGCTACGGAATATATACTTATATAAATAGTAGGGGAAGCCTGTCACCGTGCGACCTAAGGCAACAGACGGAAAGGGGGGAGGATAAGGGTGTTTTAGGAAATGGTTTTCTCACTGCCAGTCTCACAGACTCACAAGACTGATCAGATAAGCTAACGGCTAAAGGTGTCTTGGCCGCAGTTAGAGGATGCTGTAGTCAGGAGTGCTCCGTTGTCAATAAGACAGCGTTGATGTCTGAATTCAAAGAGCAAAATCCAGACAAGTGTCAAGTGAGTATTTTAAATACCAAAAACGTTCGATTGATTTTTCGTCACTAAACCTTCCTTATGTGTATTATTGTTTGTATCAATAGAAAATTCCGTGAACAAAAAACTTGAAGTTGTTCCTATCTGTTTTACGAAATCATTCTCGGGTTACTGTTCACTGCCTAATTTCCGTGGCAATTTTTATTGTTTAAATATTCAAATAATATATTACAGTGAAATTTTAATAAAATTTTACGACATTACACTCGAATACTAAATAACATTACACGGTAACATCCTCGAATATTTAAAAATTGCCACATAAATTAGGCAGTAATCACTAGAATGCCCGGCGAACATATCAGAGCCTACAGTGAAAAAGGAAATAACTCAAAATTTCAGGAGAGGCAAGAAAGCACGCTTTTATTGATTATTGGTCGTTCGCATTTATTATTAATACTTTTATGATTTCTAGCTTTAGGTATACATCTAAGCTTTCGTTTGATAGGTATTAGTAAAATATTGTCATATTTTCTATATTTTTTTAAGCTATTTTCCAGTGGCGTCCTTGTTTATGAGCGCGTAACGGTAAGAACTCGACTTATGTTAACAAACTTTAAAACATAAAACGACTTACTCCCTTAACTGCGACTGTTCTGTGGATTAACAATACTTATGATGCTAACCACATTGATAAAAGACATAAAATCGTTAAAGGAACAAAACGACAAGTTTTCTGTTACGAACTATTAACCAATAGCAACACGGTGTAGTCGCGGGTATGACCAATCGTGTACAGTGGAACAAACTCAGTTATACCTTTATGTGTGTACAATGTGGAATAAGTCAATAGTCGCTTTTAGTCCTACTTTCCCCCCGTGATTATGGAACAATGCGAAAAGTGTCGTTATGTAAAAACGTATATGTAGTTATTCGTTAAATTAGCAGGTATTTTTTGAGTTGAGAGCACTTGTACCTTTGGACTCAAAATGCCCGATAACTAAAATCAGGCCTTTAGAAACTATGCCCTTAGTACAATAAAGAAAACGATGTTAGGAGACTACTAGAGAAACGTCCTTTTGATGTATTATGTAATCGGATACGCTGAAGCCAATGGTGCTATAAAAACAAAAGGGCATAACTCGTCTTATTCCGTTTTACATTGGAGGCACTGATATTTAGGTCGGGATTTTTTTTACTTCTGTAAATAATTTTAGGTGGCAACGTATAATAAACATTGGGGCTCACAAAAACGCCTACCGAACTTTATCTCATATAATGTGATCTAAATTCGTAGTAATTAAGACGCTATAGGTTTTAGATATATAATCAAACGAAGACGTGTTAAAAAAGGTAGACAGTAGAAAACAAAAGAGTGAAAACGTTTGGACATCTGTTACGTAATGACGAATGCATAAAAGTTATAATCGAATGGAAGATAAAACGAAAGGAGGTGAAGGCCAAGAATAGCATACAGCACCATATCTTCTACTGAGTTTTGATTACAGCGCCTTCCTACCCATCCTTTTGGTTAAACGGGAAAGAAACGAAATAAAACAATTTATTTGAGACAGTTCCAAGTCCATATGGTGTTAGTAGATACTTACAACTATGTTTGTAGAAAGCAAAATGTTCATTTAGGAAATGAAACTATTTTTCCGGATTTAAATAGCGTATATTTGTTTTTTCAAACAAACCGACGTTTCAACCGTGACCATGGGACCTGTAAAGGGCCAGAAACGTCGGTTTGTTTGAAAAAACAAATATACGCGATTTAAATCCGGAAAAATACTTTCATTTCCTATGTGTAACAATCGCAAAAACCTAACAACTCGAAAATTTTCATTTCCATGAACAAGGATGGTCATCCAATATTTAAGGACTGGGCTATCCATCCTCTCTGCTTCCACCTTAAGACTGTTGGTGCTGCCTCTCACTCTGGCCAACAGGGATGCCACTCTCTTGCGAACGACTGTCTGAAAACTATCAATTCTAGCCTAGAGGCAGCCCCAACAGTCCCCTGAATTGAATTGGACACGCATGTATGCTTTTTAGTGTAATTGCTCCATAGGTTGCACGTGTATAGGGTCTGGCAATATGTTTGAAAAGGGTGATTTTTAAACTGGTATGAGCACAGCATGTTACACCTTACCGCCAGCGCCCTGCGTTCCCTCTCTTCACCTGGAGAGGGAACGTCTGTTAAATTTCCCGTGACTCAGTGACCCCGATATTATGATACAGATATTTGAACTTAGAAAGACACTATTACCCGTGCAAGATGCTTACACAGGGACCTTGTCAATAGGATCCTAGGGATCTAAGCTCGTTCTCTGTCCGACATCCATCCGGAATAAATACTGTCCAATAAATAATACTCGACCAAATAAATCAAAACACAAAGTCAAGTATAAAGCTTCAGAACGGGGGTAGACCCATTGACCCC